ACCGTATTTTAACGTATCGCTCATTAAGGCACAACAAAGCCGGCTTATGATACTGGGGATTCTCTTGACTCTGAGTTTTTGACCACGATAACGAGATAAATTACCCCCCCTCAGGGCCCCCGCACTATCTAGGTACTCTATAGTTGAATGCATTATCTATCGAGGATAAAATGGAGCGGAAGAGCGAAAGTTGACGATGAGAATTGAAATTTTAATTAAGTGAGTTTGTTATCGGGTGTAAAATGGATTTTTCAAGGATTCATACGTATTATTTTTATTCATTTTCACTATCATTGAGCATTGGTGCATTTTTATTATTACGCTTTCTTGTCTCCCTTCTCATTGCTGGTCTCACTCGTTCGTCGATATGTGTTGGGTATTTACGAGGTTATGTGCAACGGTGAGAGACAAGAGAGTGAGACAGCGCGTGACGCCGTCCACTCTCTCGATCGCCCTTAATTGGCTCGTTTTCGCACTCCTTTTTTATTTCATCATTATTTTTTGCCCCGACAATTTTTTTCACCTCCCACTCCCTTCTTTTCTCATATTTCTCCGCTAGCCTCTCGCTCACTCGTGTATCGCCGGGTTTTTTAATCTATCGACTCTTGCTTCTTTGCTTTTATTGCGATGCCCAGTGTTTCCTGTACACTAGCTGGGGATTTTTATTGGATTAACTGCTTATAAACGGTGTCAATCTATCCACCAAAGGATTGCCGATATTTTCGTATTAAGGTGATCTGTATTTTTTGGATTGACTGCGCTTGGCGTTTTATTACGAAGCCGTTGACGGAACTTGCCGACTCCCGGCGAAAGTGAATCCGCGCAGATTTACCGAAAGGCCAATACATTCGGCTTACGTTTTTTTTTTTAATGGAAAGAAATTCTGCCACTACCCCCTCCCTTAGGTAAAATTCGTGCAATAATTTGGAGCTTCCTTTGGTTTCTGCACTGATTAAAAAATTTGCGTGATTGCCAGATTTTATATATTTTTTGGAATTTCACCTAGAATTAAGGCCACACCTATTGACCATCTACTTAATGAATTAATTAAAAATTTGATTTGGTAATAATTTTCCATTTTACCAATATTGTAGAATTTTTAAAAGCTGCATTTCCAGGATTGGTTGTAAAATCCTGGACGACTGATGCCCACGCATTTCCGAAAGATCCTAGCGTGAGTAAAACATTTTCTCATATTCAATATGTTGTGAATTAGATCGTGATCCTTCGTCGCCAGGAATGCACTCGATTCACGCCAGGAGTTGTCGTGAATATTCTCACAAACCGCAGGAAAATCATCGCCACGAGAGAACGAGGAGCGGAAGAGTTTATATTAGTGTGTTGGTGAAACGTGCGAGTGCAAAATCGACTGTGCATTAAATAGAATATATTGTCCGTTGTGTTTGTATTCGGGGAGTTGTTGGTATAATGTGCTTCAAGCCGTTTGGTAAACTAGCGGGAGAGCAAGAGAGAGACAGACAAATTCAGCGCAAAGAAGTGGACAGCCTGGCCCTGACACTCAGAAGCACCATCAGTTATACAGAGATCGTCGACTGCGCGCCAATCCACCCACTCCTACCGACTCCCACCCTCTTCCACCCACTTCCACCCAGCCACCCCCTTTTTACACCCCCTTCGATGTCGTGTGCTGGCTGCGACGTGCAGGGGCGGTGCATTCCCTTTTATTCCCTTTCTCATTCCAAATGGAAGCTGCTAATCACTCAATTTTTTCGAATCTTCAATTTTCCTCTGAAATTACGCGGAATACCACGAGACGTCAATATCTCATTTTTTTTTAAATCTCCACTTTTTGAGTACAAGAATTTAAAAATTGATGGAAAATCGCGAGTTCAATTCGCGGTTTCTTAGAATTTATAAGTTGAAGTCAACGGCAAACCTGCGGAAACTTGCGGTAGTATTTATTTGTTTATTTGCAGAAGTCGCGGGCTACCGCATCTCTCCCCGAAAAAGCGAAAATAACGGAAAAAAGGAGGGGTACCATGTGTTCGCGGGGAGCATCGTGGCCCTCTGTGTGCAACGGCATTCAATTTCCCCACTTCCCATAAAAGCTTGGCCAGAGCGCTTTTTACAGTGAAACAAAAATCTTTTGGGTTAATCGAGAGCTGATCGACCGCACCGCGCGCTTCAGACTCAACGAGTATTTGGTATTGTTCGCTACTTTCGATTGGTAGGAGAGATTAAAGTCTGTCTCTAGCTACCCCATCCCAAACTTTTTCATTCTTTCGATCAACACCAGTCAAACCACCCTCTTTTTCTCGCTTCATCTCCTTTATTTTTCGTTTGTAACGTAAATCCGTTCGTTTGCATCTCCCGCGTTTTCTCTTTTCGCATTGTTCTGATTGTGGACTGATGAAATTGTTGCGTAATCAATCGATTCAAGTATCATGCGAAAAAAAAACGGTACCACCTATCCAATTCATTCGAGAAATCGTCATTTTCTAAAAATAAATTATTTCAACATCGAAATCCGATTCATCAGATATCCACATCTAAAAATCACACATTCCAATTCCTCACCTCAAAATAATCGCCCCAAAAAATCGAAAATTTCGCCTACCGCGAACGCAATCTCTGCCCCCCCCCCCCCCCCAAAAAAAGATCCGGAAAAAAGAATATGAAAAGGAGATCACTCAATTCTAAAAATGAAAAAAAAAATATATATATCGAAGGGTGAAAAAATGAGAGAGTGAGAAAAATATGGTGTCAATGACTTCCCGGGATGATTTTTCAAAATGTCCACCCCGAGCACAGCGAGATGGGGTAGGTGGGGTGGTCAACCCCAAGCGCACGGGGGTGGCAAGATGGCGGCCACGGTAAATCGATGGAGGCTAGTCACTGCAGGCGCCCTCGCCTCCAACACCACCCTCTCCCTACCTTCAACACCCCCCTGCCACCCCCTCAGCTCGAAAACTCGTCCGTAGTCTCTCTTTTCCCCGCAACCCCCCACAGCTGTATTCAACTTTGCCCAGTTAGTGCCCCCAGTACTCCTCCCAGTATAGCCCTCAGCATCTCTCCTCTACCTTTTGCCTATAACCCTCCTGGTTTTGTACGCCCCACGTACGACCTCGACGATCACCTCATTTTCGAGTTTCACGCAAGCGCTCACTTTCAACCTAAACTCAGCCTTACAGCATCCGCCTGCGTAATTTCACACTGCATTTCAGATTAAAGCCCCAAAGTTTTCCTGAAATATTGCCGCGAAAAATAGAAAAATACGCGAATAAAACCAGTACTTCAATCAAGTTTATCATACACTCGAGTCAAGTATGGGGTGTCCACTTCAGGACATGCAGGTGTACATTGTCAGGGAAAAAATTTCTTTCATGTTTTTATCAATTCTTTCGACGTGGTAATTCGTGTTGGAGAAGAAATCCACTTGCTTCGGACTCTTCTCTTTTAGAGAAAACATCGGGAAGTCAAGTGAACCTAGTCTCTCATGCTTAATTCAGGAATGGATCAACGACTGTTTAAAACCACGCCCCGATGTTTTTCACGGAGGGTGTGAAAATCCCTCATCAAGAGTAATCGATTCTTGGAATAATAATTATATTCCGCACTTCAGGCTGAATTAATCCCGCCTCATTGGTCCTTGGATTATCGATATCGAGTCGTCTTCACAGTGAAAGTCCTTTTTTCGTCTTGTCGACGTATATCCAGTATATCGTCCTTATTTCTTCTTCTTATCTCTAATCAGTCGATTATTTTTTTTCGCTGACTGAATTTTTTAAGAAACTACAGGGATAGGACTAGTCCAATAAATTTATTAATAATTGTAAGAATTAGGGGAATGGGGGAATAAATTAAATAGGGATTCAGTTATTTATCAAGTTGAAGTTCATAGATCACGCAATGGCATCAACCGCGGGGTTTTCGTCCCCGCGGCGAAATTATTGTCGCGCACAACATATATCTCGATGTGTATCCACGGGGTACAATCGCTTTTCGGTTTTACGATTTATTTTTCTCCGAGAAATTGATGCTCCACACGTGAAATCCCTTCCCTATCTTTTTCACCCCGGTTTATTTGGTCGAGGGGTCTGTTAACTTGGGATAAACCTAACGCGGATTAATATTGCCGATTGGAAATGGCGGGAGTCCAAATACCGAAGTATCGCCGATACGCGCAATTAAGAGCGAAGGAAAATACGAGTCACAGAATAAAAATATTTCTCATTCAAACATATTCAAGCGAATTTATATCAATTCATAATATCACGAAGAGATGAGTGAAATAAATAAAAATGCGTAATTAAACATGAACATGAAATCCGTAATTGAGATTCAATAAATAATAAATCATCTCGAAATTACGATCAGTTCATGGCTCACAGGTGTTCAGATTTTATTATTTAAATTAATAAATTGACTCGATCTTAATGAAACATTTTGATGACAAAACCGATCGCGGGGGAAAACGAGTCATTTACCGACGTAAATATGTAACCCGAGTACCTGTGACGAGGACTCGCGGCTTAATTGGTTCTTAGGGACGTCTTAATTGACCCGACGTACTATTATTGGATCGAGTTCCCGTATATTTACATACCTCGACTGTAGACTCAGTCCGGGCTTAATAATACGAAGGTTATCCTAAGGAACTCGGTAAGCCGATCTCGTGACGATCTGTAAAAACGAAAGTCAATATGAAATTCACCGAAATTATTGTTTCAAATTACATAATCCATCATCTCCATTTCAATTTTATAAATTAAAAGTGGGGAGATGTGAAATGGCTCTGAAGCGACAGTAGATTCATCTTTTATCAATGAGTCATTATTGTTCACAAAAAAATAAAAATAAAATTGAATTAAGTCGCAAGGGATTGGAATTTTTCTACTCGATTCGAGTAGCGGGACGATCATAACAAAAAAAGTGATTGTTATAAATAAAATAGAAAAACATAAGTAAACGTATTTATATTTTCATTTGCTGTATTAGTCCTCTTATTATAGAATATATAAAATGTAAAATAAAATAATATATATAAAATGAAAAAGAATATATGAATATTATATTGAATTTATATTTTTTTGCGACCGCCATATGATGATTATAGGCGCACAAATGGCGCCCCAAATGCGGGTCTAGTTAAAATTGAAGGAGGAACATAATTAATGGCGTGAGAAAACGGACGTTTTGGGAAAAGTCCAATGGATTTATTTAGCGAAAAAATGGGATTTGGCGGTATGGAGAAGGGTTCAGGGCGGCAACAGAAGAGGCAAAATCCGCCGTGACGGAAAGACACGGATATTGTGCCGCTAGGTGGACAGGCGTGTCGTTAATAAACCCGGAAGGAGGGCCATTAATCATCGGATATCTCGGTTCGGAGGGCTTGGTGCCCGTACAAACAGGCGTCCGAGATGTTTGACTAAACACGTGCACACCCCAGGACGATGGGCGGCCCGACATCAACACACACACAGGATTTAAAACCGCAGGACGTTTCGTTAGTCTCCACTCCGTTCACCAAGAAAATCGAGTGGATTGGCGATAACATGAAAGGTTCTCTAGGGTGACATCCTTACATCAAATATTGACCGTTCATTTGTCAAATAGGTGGGCTTCGATCCGGACTAATTAACTGACTGCGTCTGCTGAGTGATCGCCTTCCTTTCTGGTTGCTCTGATTTTTCCGGATGAGTGTTAATGCAACGGAAGTGAGTGACGGAAGCCATGGTTCAATTGGGGAATCGATGGGCAGCGCCATCTGCGATTCATGTGATGGGTCGCGAAGATGGCGGTGCTTTCTGTAAATGAGTTGGAGCAATTTGGATATCCGGACTGCCTAGACAATTTATTTTTTCAAATTGCTGGCTGTCCAGTGTTATCGTTTATAGATTTTTGGATGACTGACTTGGATTGTTTTTTTTTTTATTTACTGACACTTACCTGGTGAGTTTCACGGTCGACTAGAAAATTTCCCGAGAGTTATATCTGTTTACCAATATGGCGGACGATGGTCAACCTGGTCAGCTGGATCCTTGACACCATCGGGGCTACACGTACGATCGTGTTATCCGCAAACATGCACACGAGCCGTCTATCATGGGATTCCTATACCATAATCATGTGCCCAGGCAAACAACCAAATAATTCTTCGACACCGAATTTTTTTTTTTTCCCCAAAAAATCTCGGTTCTTTCTCCTGTGCGGACGGAACAATGTGTCAAAAACGTCCGATTCGTTTGGAATACCGGTACGACTGGTTGGTGATGCAACATAAATTAAACTGCAAAGGCTGTCTCCACCCCAATCAGTTCATGTCCCATGGTCATCGTGCTGTATTATCGAGCGGCTATATTTATGAGTGTGCGTATGTGGCAATTTGCAACAGTTTGAGGCTAACGGATTATGACAAATTAATAACACGGTTTTTCCGCTGTCCAATCGATCTGATTTAGGATCGCTGTGGCGAAGCCGATGTTGCGGGTTTAGGACCCGTCGAGGGGAACCCTTAAAAAAAAAAAAATATGCTCATGAATATTTCGGCAGTTGTTCAATTTCGAAAATATCAAATTGCAATTATTGTACCTATTACATGCATCGGTCGTTCTTGACTCTTCGAGAGAGGAAAAAAATACCGCGCGTCATTTATCGATATTTAATTCATAAATTTTTCTGCGGAAATGAAGAGTTGGCGAAAAAATTACTGCTATTTTTCGGCGCGGTCAGTTATTACCGAAATTTTTCACGGAGATCTGTCTTACCGACATTAATATTATAGATCTTCTTACTTTACGTTGAGACGACACTCTGTTGTGGTAATGAGCTGAGAGATGGCAGTACCGGCTTATCAGAAACACCGGGAATTTATTGTCCCTCATCGCCTGATTTGCACTGATAAATTTCTGTCACTCACTCGAACTCATTCCGACAAAAAACGATTTTGTCAATCGATGTTATCTAGCCGGAATTCATAAAAGATAATCATCCTAATTTTTAAAATTTCTGTGAAGATACAAGAGAAATGATTTTATGATACCGTCTCTCTATCGATTATCGCCGATAGATTTCGACGTTGATAAATATCGAAATTGAAGTGGTGATTTATTTTTAACTTATTTCAGATTGCTGGGTTTTTTTCCTTCGAAAAAAATCGCGAAAAGAAATCACCGATATATTTGGAGTATGATCATAATCACCAGCTTATATAATTCGATTAATAATTCTAATCTGCCGCCTGCAGAGCAAGTGATAGGTGCGTGAAATTTTCTAGTAGAAAAAATTGATGAATTTATGATTAGATCTCACAACTCTGAATATAAATATTTAGTAAAAATTACAGGAATTTCCGTTCGCTTACCGATTATTACGTGACTCTAGATAAAAATTACGTGACAGCTCGATAAAATTTCCTAGAACCACAATTCACACCAGAATTACGAAAAAGACAGATAATTTTTATTGAATATTTTTTACTTACGAGAATTCTGACTCGAAGTGTAATTGTAAAAGAATGTCAGGGCTTTGAAAAAGTAAGATGAATACCGCTATATCTCAAAGGAAATAACACACCGTGACATCATCACGGAAACAATCCCTCCGGTGGAGGGCATGAGCCACGGCATTTTGCGTTGACAGTGACCAGTGTCCAGGAGGTCCAGCAAGGCATTAAGGACGCATCTGGACACAAAGCGGTAGCATTCGTGGCTGTGCCATTTATAACTCGGTTTTCCCTCTTCCACCCTCAGTCCTCCTGCGGCTACTTAGCAGATATTTTACGACGCATCCGTATGTATATATTCACGAGTAAAAGAGGAAAAGCATAGGGAGACGAAGAACTGAAAAGTTCACGTGAAAAACAGCAGTAGGAAATTGCGAGGAAATGGCTGATGCCGACCTGCCCCCATACATCGTCTGTCATAAAAAAGTATTAGGTGAATAAAAAAAGCCGGGAGTTGAGCGAAACAAGAAGAGACATAAAGTTAAAAATTCAGGAGCACCTATTTTTTTTTTTCTCGAATAACAGAGTGTTTTCTTGAAATGCATTACACGATATTTAATTTTCATCGTATAAATGAGCATTCGAATACGAATAGAAAATTGATCATCTCCGCACTGACATCGCAATGTTATGACACCGTGTTCACGTTCTTTACGAGGATATTCACGGTGGGGATTTTATTTTATGGTACCCCATTTCTTTTCTCGAGATTTGATTCAACTTGAAAGCGTCGTTACACATTTCCACCGCAACTTGTATAGTTTTTACATCTCCGGCCATAAGAATAATGCCCCCACCTGGGGAAGAGGGAAAAAAAAAACCCGAGACAGAGGGATAGTAGCAATAACCCAAGCCCGGGTGATTCTAATAATAATAAAAGAGGTACACGGGGTCAGAGGATAGGCGAGAATCGTCTTTCCTCAAGCACCTCAAACTTTTACCTGACAAATTTCTCTTTTTTACAACCAAACACTAACCTCTCGATCTGTGCAATGCCTTTCATGGTTATCCACTTTCCGTGGGGTTTTGTTTCGGCTGAAAGGTGTAAAGTATATACTGGAAGAAATTGCTTCTTGAATTTTATCCCGTCGTTGATATTTGATTGGCGATAAAAAAAAGTTCTTGTTGTTAACTCGGAGGTGTTTGGATTTATTTTCGCGAGTTAATCGGAAGACAGTACAACGGTTGAGAAAGAGTATGCGATTTTTTTAATGGCTATTGTTATTTAAATAAAAAGAGACAATGAATACGTAATGATTTATATAAATTTGATACAAAACCACTTGCTGTTTGTTCGATGGCGTTCGACAAGTTCAAGACAATAAATCCAGCCCGGACACGTCCAATTATCAAATTGTCCAAGTCTTCCTCAGCTTCCTGGCGACCTCGAATAAACTCCCCCAGTAATAGATTCGAGGAGCCAAACCGCTCAAGACATTGCGACACACTCTGAGATTTACGATTGCCCAAGTTGAGAAGATTCCAAGTGGTAGTTCAGCCTCCGATGTTAGGGGCTCGATTCACCCCTGATAAAAAACATGTGCAGAGGTGTCCGGGATAATTTCTTCCTCGTAGAAGCATGATAACTTAAGACCCAGGGGTTTACCCGGAAAAGAGCTGTTAGTGTAGGCAAGTGAGGGCGGATGTGCGTGCGGAAGTTGTTGTCGGCTGCGGAAGGGGACCTTTCACCTAACTGTTTGCACGCGAGTACCTGACCATTGATTAAAATGTCTTCAGCCCTCTCCCTCCCCATATCGATCCCCCATTTATCAATTAACGTCTAATTATCAAAAATGCTCATTATCCCGAACTACTCCATGAACAAATTTTCAGATCTCCTTCATGACTCCAAAGTAATCAACAACTCAGCGAAGCCTCTGGAAATTCCAGGAAAATATAAGACGACGAATGATTAATTGTGATTATTTCTGAAAAAATAATAGATAATCGGGACGTATGACACTCTACATCCGGAGTATACTGACGAAAAAGCGAGGGGAATAATTGACAAGCGTCATCAGATCATGACTGGCCTGAAATTCCCGAATGGGGTCTTGTTTTCGAGTGATAACGAATCCTTTACTGGGACTAATGAATTCTACAAATTGACGATAGCAATATGACGTCAATTTTTGATGTGAAAAAAATTTAATCAAATAGTTGGCGTCGAGGATCAAATTCCCATGTACATTGGATTGACAAACATGAGATAACCCAACTGCTCTTATCGTTCTCTTTTTTTTTCCAGCTGTGATGCTCGCACTGTGTACGCCAGCCTGCACACTTCGGAATTTCCGTCTGATAGACTGTATTGGCTTTTCTAAGAGAGCGCTGACCCCAGCTCTTTTCCCTGTTTGACATTCGATTTTTCAGAAAATTTGCCTGTTGACATTGCTGGCGATAGTCCCTGAATTTATCCCGCGTTTTTGCAGAGATCACTGCGGGTAATTTGTCGCGTTAATATCCACAGGGAGAGAATTGCTAGTTATAAAATTGGGAAAATTACTAGTTGTAGTGTAGCATGGAAATTTTTACTTCAATCTTCCTTGTTCCTTATTAATGTTAAAGTGTCAATAGTTGAGAAAATCTGCGCTAATTTTATGACAGTATAGCAGATTGTTGACAAACAAATCTCCGTAAGATTTTCATTAAATTGGTTCACTTAAATCCCCTATGGGGTGCGGAACCGATGGTGATAAAAGATTCACGGTAGCTAAAGCTGTTTTCCTCGGTGATTTATCGATTGTCGTTGCTGGCCTGTCAATCGTGGTCAAAAGGTTACACATGTAAGTGTTGATATTGATTATAGTGTAACTATTGAAAGTACTGCATTATGAGCGGAATAAGTGGTCATCGGGCTTCAGTTGTAATTTTTAAATCGAAAAGGTGGAACTGCAATTTTTTCAGAATACCAATTACTGATGGGAATGATTGATTTCTGAAAGAAATATCAGAATTTATTCGTACCGCATGTCGACTTGCAATTCGCAATGATGAATAATTTTTTATTACGATTACGCCGGTAATTCAAGGATATATTTACCTGAGCTGTATTTATTCTCCTTGACCTTCATATAATAATTTTTAATTAATTCAGGGTACAGTGGATATAAAATATTCGTGTTTTGAGTAAAATTATCATGAGATGAAATTGAAGGTTGAGATATTGAAGGAAAGGTGAAATTAATCCGAATAATTGGTAGAGCAATCGCTGATAAGAATCAATAAGTTCAATATTTACGTCCGAACTTTCGTCCGGAATGAAATATTGTACTTTTCGATAGTGCAACGTTCTAGTGGTTGGCCATTGGCGAATTAATTGTTCAATCACTCGTAGTGATAGGGCATTGCAACGAATATTGGCCAGAGGAAACTTTTCACCGATCGGAAAATATCAGTTCGACCAATTCGTCAAGCGGTTTTTGGTATTGCCATAGTGGGATACATTTATAGCTTCCTGAAAATTATTTTCACGAGTTTATCACTATCGACTGCGCTTTATCAATTATCTCAGTTTACTCCTGCACAGACTGTCCGTTATGAAATTAGAACAACAAATGATTGAATAGATTTATCAATTAAGACGAAAATGAAATAATTCACAATTAAATTTTCGAGCTCATGAAGTGGTTCTCAGTATTTTGTCATTATTTTAGCTAGTCCTCTATTTCGATATTGATCTTGGGAGTACAGCTGTACAATTAAAAAATTAGTCATGCGTGCTCTTTCGTTTACGACGTATTCATTCATATTTTTAACGAAACGTTAATTACAATTATGAACGAATTGTTAATTACAATTTTTCTTAGGAACATGGCAGAGAGAGTAATTGATTGTGACCGCATGTTCAAAATTCTCTCCATTTGATCTTGAAATTCAAATATTACCTTTTTGTAATGATTCCTTTGGTGTATGGATTACATTGCATGTTTACGAGTAAATTAATCCTTCATTCGTCCAATAACCTTCAACACAAGATAAATTTGATTCGTGAATGAACGAAATATTTCCGGTAGTATTTGTCATCATTAAACGGGAGATAAAAATTTGTGATAAATCCATGATAAGGTGTAGGTGTCGCTTGTAGATTTATATATAAAACACCGCGATCGGTCACACATGAAGAGTTGTGAGATAATAAGCAACATTGCCAGGTGAATAATCCCCGAAATCACAATATGAGACAAGTATTTTTATTTCTACTGATCGCCTTCAGCCTCGCTGCAGTTGCGATGGCAGCTCCTGATATTTGGGAAATTCCCATAACTCAACCGACTTGCAGTAAAATTGGAGAATTCGTGAGTAGATTTTTTTTTAAACCAAAAAATATTTAACTAATTATATTTTTTGTTTAGTGCCACACTACTGATCAATGCTGCAAGCCATATCGTTGTCTCTCATTTAGAGCGAGATGTGTGACCTAAGATTGACGATTAAACACCTGCTGATGAATCATTAATTAATAAATAGTTATTATTACTGAGAAAGTTTACCTAATCGTACGTTTTCACCCTGTAATTTCCTCATAAATGTCATGAATAAATAAATACCAGATATCGAATTAATGCGAATTTTATTTCATTTATGTCCTGTATAAAAATTATATAATTAATCGTAATTTCCTATATTTCTAGAAATATTTTTTCCTGTAGAACATAATAATTACTATTATTTTTACTTTACAAAAATTATTTTTATTCTCAGTGATACAGGGATAAATATAAATGATGAAAAAAAATGGAAAATTATTTTTATTACCTAAAAATTTTCGATATAATCCCTCAAAAGGATCATTACATGAAAAATAATTACTGTAATGTCACAGATAATAAATTATTCTCATCCTGAACCTCGGGCTGATTGAATCTTAAAATTGGAGTTTTATCATTTTATCCCGAATATTTTTTTTTTGTAGTGATTCACCCGGTGTGTATTCCATTAATTGCAATTACCGGTCAGCATGGTTCACCAGTGAATTAATCATCCATTATTCTCATTGCCTTCGGTAGCCGTACAATCATTGTGAGTAACGATGATTTTTCGATGCCTCAACAAACGTCCAATTTTCACTGCTGTTCTCGTTTGCGGTCTAGCCTCAAACTGAAATTTGTAGTTAGTGGGAATTATTATATAGAATCATTGATTGACCGGCAATTTTTTCGATACTTTTATAAATCGGCGCTGTCAATATATTCTATAATTGGAGTGGAGCCTTCCGGTTGCGAAAATTCGTAACTCTTCATTTTTACCTGATTAACTCACAGGGAATGTATGTCCACCGGTAAATCCCAAAGATTTAACTTACAACTGAAAAGTTATCAATAAAAAAAAAATATTGCTCATTACGTTATGTACACAGAAAAAAAAATAAAATCCCCATCGATATTGTTTGCCTTTAAAAAAAATCATGATTATTGCGTGAATAAATCATGTTCACAATTTTAATATCGATTTCAAAAATTTTTCAAAAATTTGTGTCGGAAATTTTTTTTAATCATTTTCCAGAAATTTTTGCGAATATAATTTTTTCCTTTTTTCAATATTTTCAAAAAAAAAAACGTCATCTAAATTATAAAAAAAAATTTCCTATTCAAATTTCTTAAACATTTTTCAAAACCTTTCCGAAAAATAAAATTGTTTTGTTTTCCAATTTTTTTGGTTTCATGAAAAAAAAATCGGAAAAATTTTCTAGAATTTTTTGGAAAATTTAGAAAAAATATTCCGATGGCAATTTTTTTTTTACCCGGGTATACATGAAAATTCGCATATTCATGAAATGATAATTTCTAAATGCTCAATAAATTTGAACAGCTTTTGATTAAATCAACATGATTTAATCAATGAACGTGACGTACTCAAGGTACATCATTACTGTCAAATTAATGAACGAAAAAAAAACAGGTGGTGTGTTGAGAGATATATAAGCTCGAGCAGATGAACCCGATCATTCGTCCAACGATTTTTGAATATAGAACATTATTTTCGCAAGACCGGGACAATGAGTAAAATATTTTTCTTCTTCCTCATCGCCATGATCTTCGCTGCGACAGTGACGACAGCTGATGAAATCGATGACCGAATCTCCGAAATATTTGGATGCAGTAAAATCCGACAACCGGTGAGACAATAATCTGAGTACATAAAGCTTCCGTGGAAGCACATAGTCATATCCATATTTCGGCCAAAATGTCTGATATGTCATGGATATCACTACTGCATATTTTTTAAATTTCCAATCCAAATTTTATTATGCAATATTAACCGTAATTTTTCGTGTTTAGTGCATGTTTTCGGAGCAATGCTGCAGCGGATTAAAATGTCCACGACATCTCGGGGAATGTATCCCAATTGATGAAATTGATTTGATGGATCCAGAAATCATGATGGACTACGGCATATAATGGCTTTTCAATGAATGAATGTATCTGAGTGTACTACCTACTAATATTGATGTATCTCGTTAATTTTGTCTCGAAGAAAAATATATGAATTAAAATATTGAAAGAAAAATAATTCAATTGATTAATTAAATTTTTTTTTAATATAAGTTTAAACCTCCGGAGTTTTCTCCCATTTCTCGAAGTTTCGTGAACCACCTATCACACCAAAAAATTCTCCACAATAACCGATAAATTAAATATCCACGAGTAGATACGATTCCCTCATCTATATAAAGCCGACTTATATAATCATCATTCAGAAGTCAACAGACTCTCGGACACCAAGTGAGACAGCAAGGTATAGCCCTCCTGAAGACAGAATAATGTGCAAATTGGTTTTACTCCTCCTCATCTCCATGATTCTCGTCGCAATGATAACAGCGGAAATCAGCGATAATATAATTCACCGGAAGTGCAGTCAAATTGGAGAATACGTGAGTACAAGTCCCCGAGGATTATAAAAATATATGAATAATCTGTGAATGATTTCTTGTCCAGTGTCAGACATCGAACGACTGCTGCAAGCCCTACAACTGTGCCTCCTACTTAGAGAAGTGTGTCACATGAAATTAAACAATATTAATTGACACAATATTAATAAAAATTCTTCCACGAAAATCGGCTGTGCCCAATCGAATCTCCTTATAAGTGCCCTACGATCCGGTGACGAATTGAATTTCCTCATTGAAAATAAATACGTAATTCTTTCTATGTATCATCTCTCCTTTTCTTTATCAACCTCACTCCCTTCCGGGAAATTTACTGATTGTCGCTTTGTGCATGTACAGCATAAACAAATTGAGTGTACACGCGTTACGCTGAACTAGAGGATAAACCTTGTGGATTAACATCTCAATTCTCGTATAAATGCGTTGCACACGTCTTGACCGTTCAGTTGTGGAATAATCTTTCAACTGTAAAGTCTGAGACTGTTATCTGAGTCTATCGTGAGTAACCCTTTTTTTTTGTGAATATGTTATTAATCAGCGATATTTGGCTTTTTATTATTAATTCCTAATAGCTTGGTATCCATTATTGTTTGAAAACGGGCGATTTTTCGACGTCAATTTCAATTTTAATTAGCGAAACTCGAGTGTTGACGGGTGATTCATACGATGTACTCATTCGTACAGCCTTGAGCAATTCCGACTGATACGTTCACATGCGCGTAAATATTTCGCGTGCAAAGAAACAGACTCGCCTTGACTGTCGATCGAGGTCTTGCTCTGGGTCATGCCAAATAATCTTTGGGTATTTAAAAATTGAATGAGAAAGTAGAGAAATGTGAGGTTCATTACGGAAAATCGATAAATCATCAATACGATATTTAGAAAATAGAGAAATAATTGGAAAAGCTAAACAATGAGGCAATTCACTGGTAGAGAAATATTTTTAGAAGAATAATTGATGTGTCACAGTATCAAATGAAAAACAATGAATTTCGCTGTCTGAAAATAATTTTAGCATCTAGTAAAAATAGTAATAAATAATTGTGGTAAATCGTTGAATTTATCCGAATTGTAATAAGACTTGTAAAATGGAATTATAATTTCCAGAAGAGTCAAATATCCATGATTGAAAATAAATATTATGAGTTAATGAAAAATCGAGGAAATTAATTCTTGAGCGTTATGAAAAGAATATTGAAGTGGTATAATAATATTATTATTATTATTATATTATTTTCTCACTTGTGATTGATGTGATCACCAGAAATCATCTCTTGGAAGATGTCCAAAGTTCTGCTGCTTGCTCTCATTGGCCTAATGGCTGCGACACTTATCACCGCTCGTTCCACTGATAAACAGTCAGAATGTCGTCTCGGTCGACACGGTGACCCCGTGAGTATAGAAAATGGATAAAAGTCTTAAACACTTGTCACATCAGGAATAATTGATTTTCATTTTCAAAATGTTTAGTGCGTCTCGGCGAGCCAGTGCTGTCCAGGTCTCAGGTGCCATTCTTATGCTGGCAGGTGCCAGGTAATCATCACTACTGAGGAAATTCTGGCACAGCGAGAGAAAATCTTATCGAAGAATAAAAACAAAAACAAGAGCCCAGCCCAGGGCGCCTAATCCCAATAATCGTACTATTATGCTTTAATAATGAATTCTCTCATTAGAATCTCAATAACCAACTGCTTAATCAACCGTTTGTCCATCAATCAGTTTTGTATAATGAACGAAAATTAATGTCCGGTTTACATGATATTTAACGTTTATTGTTACCATTTTTGATATGATTTAACGACGGAAATTTAATATACATAATATACAGGACTCGGAAAATTGTGGAAAAACAACCGCTGACTCAGATTTTGAGGTAGACATATGTTAAATCATCGGTTGGTGGACGGAAAATTTCAATTTTGGAAAAATAAACGATAAACAAACGAGTTGTTGTTGTAATTTAATGCATGGATGATAATTGTAATTAATACAACTAGGTTTGGGCGCAATGACGAATTTTCTGTGATTTTCATTTCCGACACTGACGTACCCTCCGATCAATACTAAACTGTGATACCGAGTAGGAGCTTCAGCCCCGATATTAAAACTAGATTACGAATACTGGACTTACCTTATCACCACCTCCGAAGCCTGTAAGGACCATAAAAAATTATAAATGCAACTTGGAGTGCGGGCGATCTGCCAATATTTGTATAAAACTGCGTTTCAAAAAACAAGGCCACGCGTCAAGTGATAGTATAATTCAAAATTTATCGACGATAGGGAAATTGGTAGTAGGTGACGTGTGACAGGAGTTCTCAGCGAATCCGATTCACTCTGGATATATTTGTGTCAGAGCATTTCGAGAATCTAATCCAAATCGATAGAGATGATTGACCAAAAAAATTCACTTCAGTAATTAATCTTAATATTTAAAAGACCCCTCTGAAAACGGTAATAAAAAAATCCTCTGTCCGGGTATTACGGGAAGGTTCGTCCACTGTCCCGTAAGAGCTTCTGTCCGAAAAAAAAAAAAACTAAGGACTTTGAGTCAAAGACCAAAAGCTACTTGAGCTCGTTACCGTACTTTCCATTCTTTCTCATTCTCGAGTGAATCGGCTTAGTTCATAAGCGTCTCCAACTCTTCCCTCTCGGACACTTTCCGAGTCTCTTTTAATATCTTCATTAAAAAGAGAAAAATTTTTCAGGAGAATGACTCCCCCAACATTTCAATGATTCCCGAGAGTGGACGAAGGGATAGAGATAGTGTTAAAAATATGATATCCATACCCAGGGAGGACGCCACGCTGTCCGCAAATATTTGTCCAGTCTTTCCCTTATCTTAGTAGAGCTTACCGTCCCATATGTTTTCTCCCACCCTCCACGCCATTTTTTACTCTCCTCTTCAACTCATTCACCTCCAGAATTACTCGATCCCTGAAAAGACACGAATAATCTGGATTTTCGAGTGAAAAGATTGACATGCTTGAGTCAAAGATTTGTATAAAGAGACCCAAGAAAAATGATCCATTTAAAATCGAACGATCGGAAGGAAAAATAGCCTAGAAGATTATCCAAGTGCTTTAAACCCCGCGATTTCCAGAGGATTTAAAACACCGCAAGGAGGTGCGACACAAACATGAGAATGCGACAATGAACTTAAGCCTTGCATGCTTGAGAGATTTCAAGCACTTGGACAAGGTAGAGCAGTCTCAGTGGTCTGGTACAACCTTCTCAACTCGTACCATTTTGGAAGGAAACAATAACGCCAACTTTGGACTGGAGTTGGCCTAGCCGTAGGCATGATATGAAAACATTATCAAGACTAAGCCGGTAAGTACACAGCAATGTGCTGAGCTCGGGTGAGAGTTTTGTGTGGTACTGTCGTCACTGCCACGTCAGGACGTCAGGACAACTCCAGAGGGTGAGGGGCTATTATTTTCAAATGTTCATGATGTAGATTTGAGACTAGCTTTGTTTCGAATGGAGTTGTTCATGATTCTCTAACCAATCACAAGGGATTGCCAACGGAAAAGGATTTGGCACAGCACGAAAAGACTTGAACAACACCTAAATCGATGCTCCTTACTTATTCACGAATGGTGATTCCGAGTTTGTGATAAGACTCGGTGATTCCTGGTTATCACACCGGGACATCGAAGAACGACTGAGCATCACGCGCCGAAGGGTGGCCGAGGGGTTGATAGTTGACAACGATGGGAGAACCTGATAGTGGAGCAGGAGTGAAGCTACTTGGAGACGAGGCCAACGGGGAACAGCCATTTGGGACAAACTACCCTTAGGTAGTACTCACGCAACCGATCCTATCAGCCGGACTATCCCAACCGTGTGCCCACCACAAATGTACCTCTACACGAATGCTCTATATCTAGAGTGGAATTGTTTTCTGCCCATTAATTATTGACCAAAGCCAGATCGATATTGTATACATATTCGGGAGGTGAGCCTACGGAACAGGCAAAAGATTTACTCACAATTCAATCCAGATAGTCGAGTTTGGAGAGTTTGCAAACTTAACGCACGATTAGATACACTCCTCCTAAGGTGGCTCACCCTTCGCTGGAAAAGCCTTTCCCCTCTCGACTGGAAAATTGAGAACTCGTGGGAAGGTCGAGGGAGGCCTCTTGGAGATGGGCCAGTCTTATCGCGATTTGCATAAATTCATAGTTTACGGCTTAGCCCGACCTCTGAAGACCTCGAGACCGCTAACCCTTTACCAACTTCAAAGTTACTAGCCATGGCTATCGATCGGCCAAAGTTTCCCAAGGAATTCCAGAAACTCGTCCAAAGAACGAAAAAAAAAAAGAACTGTCATAATTTATGCAACAACCAAAACTCACTTGATCGATGTGCCTCCGTCAGGTGAGACTTATACCAATTACGAATCCATAAAAAGTATTATCGGATAAAAAAAAGTCACATATGGTCATGCTGAGGTAAGCATGCGACAAAAGCTCATTCTCTCCGTCAACTTTTACGGAATTAATGAAATATTCACGGAGTAGATAGCTGGTAACAAAAAAAAAATTGTCTGATGATAATCCCCCAGCACGCCAGGTTGGAACATCTACCAGAAAGCGTATAACCCCTCACGTGATTCAAATCGTCGACCAAGATCTCGTCATAACACTCACTTGGGACAGATTACCTGAATTATTGATCAATCGTCATAAGGCCTGTCGGGTCTAAGTGACAATGCACACCAATTGGACGACTAAAAATAACAGAATCATCTCAAAAATAATTCCGATCAGCTATTTCTAGTGTATAATTCTGTCCACTTTAGAGGATTAAACATTTAATGATCATCTGACGGACTCACATGAGAGGGCTTAAACATTCGTGTGCTGTGGCAGTGGTACTTATCCACGGAAATTCAGGTCTCCCCCCTATTCGTATGAGAATGGAACGAAGCTGGTAAACTCAAACTGCAGCCGTGTGGATGCATTCGCGAGTGAGAGAGGTGTTCCGAGGGTGGACGGGTGGAAAGGGGTGGAATGAGGAAGGTGAAAGAGATGAAGCAGCGAGGTGGTGCAGTCGGTTACCATGGTGACTCACCGACACTGGACAGCCTCTTCCCGTTCCACTGTTCGGGGCTCATTTCAAAACCCAACCCAGTGCTAAAACCTCCTCCTCTTCGTCCCCTTGCCCGGCTGCACGTACACGCTGCACCGGCTGATCCGGCTGGTGGACAACACCGTTCCATGCTGCCAGGCCAAAAACACCGGTCTCTTATTACGTGGTCGAGCCATGGTGAATTGTCTTTCTCGTTTGTCGGGGGAAAAGGGGCCTGCACACCCCATCCCCCTATCACCATCACGACCTGTCAGACCAGACGCTGCGTCTGTGATGACTGCTCGGTGGATTACTACGTTGATGACAATGAGAAGACCTTCATGACTGATTAAATATAAATTATCAGGAGAACACAAGAAGCCAGTCTTCGATCAGCTACAGATGTCCAGCTCGTCAAATTTTCAACGTTTGGCAAAGCTCGCTGTAGCTTCATTGACTTGAGTCTATTCCGTATCTCATGCTCACTGGCATAATTCAGAAATTGTTTATTTAACTTGATGATTGATTATTAGGGAACAGCGAACAATTATCTGCGTTGTCGCCCGATTTGACCAACCATGCAAACAACACAGCGGTGCCAGAAGAATTCATCAGCTGTGATGGATTTACATTTGTTACGGGAATCCCTCGGCTGAAACGGTCCACTGATAATGGTATTATCGGAGTGATCGGAGTGGGGAGCAGTGTGAACACTGCGTTCCGATTCCAGTCTGTGTACCATTGGCACACTGACCCCGTTATAGTGCCCCACGTTAATTCACGCACATGTGTACATATCGCTGGAGTATCACACCCCCTGCCCCTCTCCGCAACGATATTTGGTTGTAGCAAGGGTGTCGATGGAGAAGCTGGAGGATTCGTCAGTGCTGATGGTGTTGATGCATTTGAAAGTGCGAACACAGAGTAGGCATTGTAGAGGGGATGCTCCTCATCGATACAAACTGATTCAAATGCCAAAGATTCTGAGGCGTCCCAGAAGCGAAGTAGGATTGGGATGCCAGCCTGTTGCACATGCTGAATGTCCTGGCGCCTCGTCAATGTCCCGGATGCGTCAAGAATCCGCCGAGCCGTGAGTAAATCCATCTTGCTAGAAGATCGCATAGCTGGGCATTAATCACCAAAGTACTGATAATTCGCGACGTTCCAAACACATGGGCCAATAGAAATCGTGTGCGAATGAAGATAGCCCTCAGAAATTCACCGGACCTTTTCTGCACTACATCGTTGATAAGGGAGACGTAAAAACAAATAGCTTCGCAAGTTGAATTCCCCGAGTTGACACACGTATGACAAGGCCTGAATAATTTTCATTGAATCGAGTTGGAGATGGGGGTGTGGGGAGGGTTGCCGGGGGTAAGGGTAATGTAACGTATCGATCAGTCGATTGTCGAGCAATTATCTCGTCGATGCGTATAACTGGCTTAATGAACCGACGGGGTTCATTCGCGCCCGTGCAAACGCGTTGCACGCCAGTGCGTAACCAGTTCTCCTTCCTCTCTCACACATTATATCGTACCAGCAACATATTCACCGTGTTATAGACTCATCCACCCCTCGTTTTCCACAATTCCCTTCCCCCCTTGACTACCCAGAACCGATCGCATGTTTATTTCCACAATCAGGGAGAGTCATAATGGTATTATCAGAGGGTGGACCAGGGAGAAGGACGGAAACGTCATCCTCTCTTTGGCATGCACACGACCCTGACACAGTGTGACCCTGACCCTGTTGAATAGGCACAGGGTGCGTGATGCGAGTATTGACTAGTGTACGCGTGCTTGTCGGGGTGAATGGTTGATGTAGGTTTGGGGCTAAGATGATCTTCGGAGATGAGAACTAGTCGAGATGA